TATAGAACCTAAAAATTTCAAGTTGCTACTCCTTTTAGAGAAGCAGTTGTGATTTTTTTATTTGATAGTGTGTAGTTGCGTGACACCGTTCATTATCAGATCGATATTCACAAAGCGCCCAAAAATCAGTTTTTGGTGGGATTTCAACGAGCTTTTGAGGGTTTTTAGCCTCAAGTATTTTATACAGAATCTGACTTTTCAAGTTCCTAATGGGTCTAGAATGGGAGTTCTGATGTTTTGTTTGAACGTGTGCAGCTGTGTGAAACTATGCATTTTCGCGTCAATATTTACAAAGCGTCCAAAAATCAGAGTTTTATGGGATTTGAATGAGCGTTTCTGAGTTTTTAGGTTCAGGTGTCTTATATAGAGTCTGAAAATATCAAGTTTCTAGTCCCTCTAGATTGGAAGTTGTGATTTTTWATTTGAAAGTGTGTAGTTGCRTGACAYCGTTGATTATAAGATYGATATTTACAAAGAGTGCAAAAATCAGAATTTTGTTMGATTCGAATGAACTTTGGAGGGTTTTAAGTTCAAGTGTCTTSATAGAATCTCGCTATTTCAAGTTCTTAAAGGCTCTAGAGTGGGAGTTGKAWTTTTTTATTTGCGAAGCTGTAGTTGCGTGACMCTGCTCATTTTCARARCGATTTCCATAAATCGCGCAAAAATCAGGATTTTGTTGGATTTGAGCGAACTTTTGAGAGTTTTTGGCCTCAAGTATCTTCTATAGAATCTGACTATTTCAAGTTCTTCATCGCTCTAGAGTGGGAGTTTGATATTTAATTTGAAGTTATGCAGCTGTGTAAAACTGTTCATTTTCAGGTCGATATTTATAAAGCGCCAAAAATTAAGATTTTGTGGGATTTGAATGAATTTTTCCGCATTTTTAGGCTCAGACGTCTTCTATAGAACTTGAAAATTTCAAGTTCCTGCTCCTTCTAGAGAAGCAGTTGTGATATTTTATTTGAGATTGTGTAGTTGCGTGACACCGTTCATTTTCAGATCGACATTTGCAAAGCGCGCAAAATCAGCGTTTGGTGGGATTTCAATGAGCTTTTGAGGGTTTTTAGCCTCAAGTATTTTATATAGAATCTGACTATTTAAATTTCTTAATGGCTYTAGAGTGGGAGTTCTGGTGTTTTCTTTGAAGGTGTRCAGCTGTGTGAAACTGTTCATTTTCACATTAATATTTACAAAGCKCCCAAAAATCAGGATTTTGTGGAATTTGAATGAGCCTTTTAGAGTTTGTAGGTTCAGRTRTCGTCTATAGAAGCTGAAAATTCCAGATTTCTACTCCCTCTWGAGTAGAAGTTGTGATTTTTTATTTTAAAGTATGTAGKTGCGTGACACCGTTCATTTTCAGATCGATATTCACAAAGCKCYCAAAAATCAGTATTTTGTGGGAWTAGAAWGAGCGTCKGAGAGTTTTCAGGTTCAGGTGTCTTCTATAGAGTTTGAAAATATCAAGTTCCTATTCGGTCTAGAGTGGAAGTTGTGATTTTTTATTTGAGAGTGTGTAGTTGCGTGACACCGTTCATTATTAGATCAATATTTACAAAGCGTACAAAATCAGGATTTTGGGCGATTCTCATAAACTTTTGAGAATTTTTAAGTTCAAGTGTCTTCTATAGAATCTCGCTATTTCAAGGTCCTATTCGCCCAAGAGTGGGAGTTATGATTATTGATTTGAGATACTGTATTTGCGTGAAACCGCTCATTTTTAAAACAATATTCATAAAGTGCGCAAAAATCAGGATTTTGTGGGAATTAAACGACTTTTTGAGGGTTGTTAGCCTCAAGAATCTTCTATTAAAAATGACTATTTGAGGTTCCGATTGGCTCTAGAGGAGAAGCGATTTTTTATATGAGAAGCTGAAGCTGCGTGAAACCGCTCATTTTCACAACGATTTTCACAAATCGCGCAAAAATTAGGATTTTCTACAATTTGAATGAACTCTAGTTTCTTCTATAGAATCTGACTCTTTTAAATTCCGATTCGCTCTAGAGAGAAAGTTCTGGTTTTCTATATTTAAGAGACTGTAGTTGCGTGAAAGCACTCTTTTTTAGGTCGATATTCGTCAAGCTAGCAAAAATCAGGATTTCATGCGATTTCAATGAACTTTTGAGGGTTTTTAGGCTGAATTGTCGTCTATAAAATCTGATTATTTCAAAGTCGTATTCGCTCTAGAGTGACAATTGTGATTTTTTATTTGAGAGCTGGAATTTTGGTAAAACCGCTCATTTTCAGATCCAAATTCACAAAGCTCGCAAAAGTCGTGATAAGGTTCGATTTCAATGAACTTTTGACCATTCTTAGATCCGAGACTTTCGTAAAAAACATCTGCATTTCAAGTTTCTAGCGGTTCTAGATTAGAAAGTGGGATTTTTATTCGAAAATCTGCAGTTACGGAAAACTGTGCATTTTCAGGCCAACATTCACAAAATGCTCAAAAATCAGGCTTTGGTTTGATTTATATGGGCGTTTGAATATTTTTAGATTCAAGTGTCTTTTATGCAATGGGGAAATTTTAAGTTCCTACTGGTTCTATGTTGGAACTTGTAACTTTTTAGGTAAGAGTCTGCACTACCAGCTAACTACTAAGACAATCGTATCCTTAACACCAATATCTTCGAAGAAGAACCCGGAAGATTCAAATTAAACCATACTCGTTCATAGACCTACTCAAGTCATTCGATCGCATTCAACTAAAGAACATCCGAATAAAATCAATGAAAAATTTTAAAAATTACCAATGGAAAGCACTAGGAATTCAAATTTTCAGCTTATGCGCGCAGCTAATCTTCAGTCCCAAAATAAAATGTAAAATTTGCATGAAAAAAACAGCCAAAAACATTTGTTTTTAATACGAGCGTGGAATTTCGCAATGATCAACAGTTTTCGTTCGCAATCCGCTGTTGTTGTTACTTCGGATATTTTGATAAGGATTAGCTAAAGACCCCCCCAAGTTCCAATGATGCAATCAATTTCCCAATGCTCGATTGCGAATTGTTTTTACAGCATAATTGAAAAATTATTTCTGTTATTCGGCAAATCACGTTCGTTATTGATTTCGATGCAAATGTAAACAAAAAATGGGTGGATTTGTTAATTAACTTTAGCCGCATTAAGAGGCAAATACGCGTATGCTTCGCCATCTAAACATGTCTATGTTTTGTTATCAAACAACTAATTAGAATTACTGTTATGATGTGAATGAATCGTCAAAATTAGAATGTACGAAATTGAAAAATATATTCTTCCAAGATAATTTACATGTTGACGATCCAGTTTTCAAGGCTTCAAGCAATCTGTAAAATTACACCTGTTATATTAGTGGGTTTACATGTGGAGCCGCAGAGGTTTACATCATTTTAAAGCCTAATTTACAATCTTGAAAGGTAAAAAAATTCAAGAAAATGCCACTATCCATTGGGTTTCTCCAGCTTTTTGAACTTTGCGTTAAAAAAGAGTGCGACACTCAACATTGCCACTGTGTGTTTTAAAAATTCAAAACTTCCGAAGTCGAGAAGATCTCAAACTTAAACTTTGGGGGTTTGTTGAGGAAAGATCTGTTTGCAAATTTTGCAGGTTTTAATGAAGTGGGACGACCAGTTGAGTTTGGGGAATTGTATATAAAACGGTGTTCAGTAGGGATGCTTTGCATTAAAAAATATATTACTCCTAAAGTCCAGACGGTATTGAAGTTGAAACTGTGGGGATTGATTAGAAAAAGGCTTCTGTGTACACGCAAGAAGTTTCAACTAGGTCGGATAATCAATTGATTATTCAGAATTTTGCAAATTGTTTCTTAATTGAAACGCTCAACTTAATAATACCGCATAGCGTATAAAAATTCATAACTCGCAAAATCGGGGCGATATCGAACTGAAACTTCACCAGCTAATTAAGGAAGCATTTGGTCACAAATGTGCAAAATTTCAATGAAATTGGACCATTGCTCGATTTTGTAGAAGATTTCAAGGTTGACGTTGAAAAGTAATGCGAAACTTCATACTGCTGCTCCGTGTCCAAAAAAATTATAACTACCTAAGTTGGACGAATATTGAACAGCAACTTTAGCAATTCAATAGCAAAACACATGCTTTGAAGTCCAAAACATTTCAATTTTTTTGTACCATTTTTCAAACCTGCCGCTCAAAAGAAACGCTTACCTCAGTAATCCGCAGAGCGCGTCTAAAACTTCAGAAATCGCAAAATCGCCGCGACCTAGAGTTTAAACTATGAGAGCTTATTAAAAAAATATTTTTTTGCTCGTGTACGAAATTTGAATAAAATTGGATATTCGCGTGATTTTTTAGAGTTATCCAAGTTTGACGCTAACGAGTAAGGCGCAATTCCATACTGCAGCTCCGTGTCAAAAAAGTCCCAACTCCCACAATTGCCTCAGTATAGAAATGAAACTTTGGGGCTTAATTAGCAAGACACTTCTCGGTAAGCACGAAAAATTTCAACTTTAAAGAGCAATCAGTTGATTTTGTAGAATTTGTGAAACTTGCCGCTGAAAAGACACACGCAACTCAATAATGCCGTAGCGCGTCTCAAAATGAATAACTAGCAAAATTGAAGCAATATAAAACTGACACTTGGTCTGCTAATGAACAAAACGTTTGGTTGCAAACGTACCAAATATAGATGCAATTGAACGATTGCCTAATTTTCAAGCTGACTGCTAAAAAGTAAAGCGCAACTCCATACTGCAGCTGCGTGTCAAAAAATCCTAACTCACAAAGTTGCCTAAATATACAACTTAAACTCTAGCTATTAATTGGTAAAGCACCTGTTTTTAAGCACACAAACTTTTAATGTACTGAAACGATCAGTTGACTTGGTAGAATTTTTCAGACTTGACGCTCAAAAGAATTAAAAATTCGCAACTCTCACAATCGCAAAAATTTAGGGCTGCAACTTTAACCTTGGACTATCAGGTCACCTATTTCTCAATCTGCAAAAGCTTAGTCAAATTGGAATATTCGTTGATTTTCTACAGCTATTCAAACATGCCCTTAAAATGTAAGGTGCATCAGTAATGTCGATGACTGCTTAAAAAATCATAACTCTCAAACTAGAGAGGATGTAGAACTGAAACCTTGGTATGTGAGGAAGAGGCCACCTGTTTATATATATGGATAATTTGAATGTAATGAGACAACCTGTTGGATTTTTACAGCCTTCTAATGGTGACGTTAAAAAGTAATGCAACAAGGAGCTGAAACTTTGGGTGTTGGGCAATAAGACATCGGTTTATACATGCGGTTAATTCCAATCGAATTAGACACCTTGTCGATATTTTAGATCCTTACAAACAAGACGTTAAAAAGTAATATATCACTCAACATCGCCACAACGCGCTTAACAAGTGATAACTTATAAGCCCGAGACGATATTGAACAGAAACTAACTTTACACTTTAAGTATTAAGGCACCTGTCGATCCTCGTAGATATTTACAATAGGTTTGGACATCCAGCTGATATTTTATAGCCTTCCAATCATGACGTTGAAACGTACTGCATCACTCAATATTACAGCTACGCGCTTAACAAATCATAACTCCTAAACCCGAAAAGGCATACCACTGAAACTTTAGGTGTTACGAAACAAGGCATTGCTTGATGTATGTAGATAATTTCAGTAGAATCGGACGATCCATTGATCTTTCACAATCTTCCAAATATGACGTTAAAAAGCAATGCTTCACTCAATATTACCGCGCTTAAAAAGTCATAACTCGCAAAACCGAGAGCACATAGCCCTCAAACTTGGGCCGTTAAGGAGCAAGACACTTGTTTATGCATGTAGATAATTTAAATTGAATCGGACAAACCAGTAATTTTTTATCAGCCGTCCAAACAGGACGTTGTTTGGATGCGCCATTCAATGTTTTCACTGCGGGGCTAAAAAGTCATCATTCTCTATCTCAGCAAATCGGGACGATTTAGAGCTACAAATTTAGTTGTAGACTGACCAGACACCCTATTTTTATTGTAGAAAATTGTAGTAAAATCGAACAAACCGTTGATTTTCTAGAGTTTTCCAAAACTGTCATTAAAAAATCAGGCGCATTTCAATGATTCGGTTGCGTGATTTAACTGACCACCTATCCCCATAAATGATGAACCAGCAGATCATATGTCTGTTTGGAGTCTGTTTTAAGACCAAGAAGTTTACATTAAAAAACAACGCAAAACGATTAAAACGCCATTGCAAGCGAAAGTTCATATGGATAATTTAAAACGACTTCTTAGACAAACTTACAGTTTTGACTAAAGGAGATAAAATAACTATGAACAAACTGGACAATAACCCAGGAATAATACCTTTGAAATTGGGACAAGCAAGACTAACAGATTACGCCCACACCTTGATACATTATTATGACTTGATCCCATTATCATAGAAATCAACAAGTTCCATAATAAATCCGAAAATATTTTATGTTCACTAATGGCGCATAAAGAATATCTTGATGAATCGACCAATTATTTCAAAATATTAAAAATCACACAGGAAAGAGTTGAAAATAAAATTAAAGAAATACTGCCACACCCCTTAAGGACCGAAAGAGGTATTCTAAATATTATTGGTTCGGTATTTAAAGCTATTACCGGAAATCTAGACGCAAGCGATGACGAACATTACGAAAATGTTATAAAATAATTACAACAAAATCAGATTGATGTAGCGGAAAGTGTAAAAAACCAAAACTCTATATCTACAAGAGTCATAGACGCTTTCAACTCTACGATTTACAAAATAAATAAGAATAACTATTTAATCGAAGCAAAAGTTAAACAAATTGGCCTCATCGTTCAGAAATCAACACATCGTGAAAATAACTATTTTATTCGAGACACCTTAAATCAAATTATTAACATTTATGAAATTATCGAGTCTCTATTCCAAGATATTGAAAACTCGTTAACATTTGCAAAATTAAAAATAATGCATCCAAGCATTATAAAACTAAATGATCTTTCAGTAGAACTGAAAACTCTCGAAAAACTTATAGCACCTAAACAATTACCTATACCTACCACATTTATGAATATGTTTATGTATGAAAATGTTATTGATATTGACTGTTTTATATTAAGCAATAAAATTACATACTTGTTAAGAGTACCAATAACAAACCCTATTAATTTCGATTATTTCCATTTGTATTCTGTTCCCATAAAACATCAGAGTC